AGGACCAGCTGGAGGAGGAGCAGGAGGAGCCGCAGGCCGCAGGAATTGAGAAGGAGAAGCCGCAAGAGGAAGAGGGAGGACGAAGGGGAGGAGGTGGAGAAGGAATATGGAAGAGGAGGAGGCGGATGGAGAAGGAAGGAGGAGGAGGAGGAGGAGGGAAAGGAAGCGGAGGAGGGAGCAGGAGGAGGAGGAGGAGGAAGTTGGAGCAGGAGGCGGAGGAGGACAAGGAGGAGGAGGAGGAGGAGGAACAGCAGCAGCAGCAGGAGAACCCCTACCCCCCCGCCGATCCGCTCCCCGCCCCCCTTCTTGCTCTCATGGGATGGGAGGGGGGGCGGGCGGCGGGGAGGCCACGAGGCCGCGGGCTGGCACGCCCAGCCGCACGACGAGTGGGACGTGGGCAGGCCGCGCGCCCCCCTGGGCAGGGAGGGCGCTTGCGCCAAAACGGCTGCGGCCTCCTCCTCCAACTCCTTCGCCTCCTCCTCCTCCTCCTCCTCCCTCTCCTCCTCCTCCTCCTCTTCCTCCTTCCCGTTCCTCCTCCCCTCCTCCTCCTCCTCCTCCTCGTCCTCCTCCTCCTCCTCCTCCTCCCCATCCTCCTCCTCCTCCTTCTCCTCCTCCTCCTCTTCCTCCTCCTCCTCCTCTTCCTCCTCCTCCTCCTCCTCCTCCTCCTCCTCCTCCTCGTCGTCCTCCTCCTCCTCCTCCTCCTCCTCCTCCTCCTCCTCCTCCTCCTCCTCCTCCTCCTCCTCCCCCCCTCCTCCTCCTTCTTCTCCTCCTCCCCCTTACCCTCCCTCCGCAGGGGCAGCTCGCTCGCTCGCAAGCCGTGCGCCGAAAAGCGCGTGGACAGATCCAGCATGCACAGTTTCAGGAGGGGGAAAAGCACACAGACAGAATCCATCCCCGATCTCCCGGGAAATCTAGGGAAATATGGGAGGGGGGGAAGAGACGAAAATCAGCAAGTATGAGAAAATATTGGGAATCTTGGGGTTGGTGTGTATTGCTTTTGTGTGTTCCTGGGCCGCTTCACAACAGTGGGCAGCACCTCTCGCCGAAGCGCTCCAATCCTGAAGGCTTGCTAGTGCATGAGCAGCGAGCTTCTGCCACTGCCCAGCCCATCCGGTTCTGCCCTACCCGTCTCACACACTTGCACGCGATTGGGGCAAGAGCCCCAGGGCAAACTGTCCACAGGGGCAGCGGTCGGGGCAGAAAAGCACAGGAGATCGGCGCGGCTGCGGTCCGGGCGCTGGCGGAGGCCACAGTCGACGATGACGCGGAGCGAGCGGAACATAGAGGGCACCCAATATGTTGTCACAGTTCTGCTTCTCTTCTTGTCGCAAACCGTGAGAGCCTTTGGTGTGTTCGCATTTCCGTCTCCAGAGTGCGTTGGCGTCGACCAGGCGCCGATTCAGCGTCGGCCAGCGTCGATCTAGCGTCGATGAGCGCCGATTCGCGTCGGCTAACGTCGACCAGCGTCGGCCAGGGTCGATCCGCAAGAGCCAGCAAGATGTCATGGGAGGCTCCTGTGAGTTGCCACCGGAGTCCTCCTCAGGGGCAACATGAAGGGGGATTCTAAGCCTCCGGCATTTGGTCGGAGTAGATGGGGTCTGAAGATCGCGCCGCATCGCCGATGTATCGGTGATGCAGCTCGATGCGGAGCCCGATGTTCTCCACGCTGGCGTCGCCGATGCACCGCCGACGTCGCCGATACATAATCGATGTGTCTGCGACGCGGCGCGATCTTCCAACCCCATCTACGCGGATCCCATCTGGGAGCTTCTAGGGATGGGCTCTTAGTCGGGAAACTGTTCCACAGTTTCTTGACAGTTTCGGACGTGCTCGAGGCCTGTGTTGGCTTCCAACCGCTGCGCCTCGTCGAGAGCGTCCAGGCAGTGCCGAGATCGTCCCGAACAGCCGCTGGATGCCTGGAGGGATTGGCCTGAAGACCGGACAGCGATGACCACGGGGCGGGCTTCCCCCCCTCCTTCGAAGGCCTGGAGATTGGGTACAGTCGAAACCGATATCATGATGGGCACCCCCCCCAAGGGTACCCTTGCATCCTTGCCTCCTCGGCCCATCCTTGACCACTCTCGATTGCCAGCCCCGCGCGGAAAAGCTTCGACACGGGTGGCCAAAGGGCTGTCTTCCTCATCGCGCATCCTTTCTATCAGTTTTGATTGTACGGAAAGACCAGGTCCTGTTCTTTTTGGACAGGGCTCGTTGTCGGTGTCGTCGCGGACGTTGTCCGCTTCGGACAAAAGTCGCCTGTCCAGCAGCGGCTGCTGTCGGCTTTGGGCAGCGATCGCTGATAAGCATCGTGCCCTTTTTTGCCGTACCCATGCTGAGCGTGCAAATCTTCCTTCCCTTCCTGATCCATCTCCTCCCTCCCCAGACCACCTCGTGGCGTGAAACAATCGCAGTGGGATGTTTCAGGCCATTTTCGTCCCTTGGGGGCCCTTACCGGGCCCAGGGACCGTCAAATGACGACTCGAGGTGAAAAGCCGGTCCTGAGGAATTTGTCGAGGGTCGAAACCTTCGGGGGCACACGCTGTGGACGAATGACGCGACGTCCTTGGTTCGAGTCCCCTTCCTGATCCACCTCTCCTCGCCGCCTGCTGGCACCTAGGCAGCAGAACGCAAAGAGATGCCTCGCAGAGGCCGCAAGGATCTGGCCAAGGTCGACGAGGGTGCTCTCGCATGACCGACATGTCCGGAGCGTGCGCCGCTCTCGCAGTGTCCAGCAGGCGGCTTCGAGCAGCAGCGGTCGAGTCCTCTTCCTCCTCCTCCTCCTCCTCCTCCTCCTCCTCCTCCTCCTCCTCCTCCTCCTCCCTCCTCCTCCTCCTCCTCCTCCTCCTCCTCCTCCTCCTCCTCCTCCTCCTCCTCCTCCTCCTCCTCCTCCTCCCTCCTCTTCCTCTTCCTCTCTCTTCCTCCTCCTCCTCCTCCGCCTCCTCCTCCTCCTCCCTGGATCTCCTCCCGCCGCCTGCGAGGGGGGGGGAAGGCCCTGGCTCTGCGCGTGCTCCCACCGGCCCATCCAGAGGCGAGGCCCAGGCGGCGTGTCGGGCAGAGGAGGGAAGAGGAGCACACGGTGTGAGACAGGTGGAGAGCGGAGGGGGGAATCAGCAGATCCAGAATTCTCTCGGGGCTCTCTGGGAACTCTGGAAGGGGGGGTGGAGTGATGTGTATGTGTGTGGACCTTGTCTTCGTCTGCTGGTCATCCTTTTACTGGCCCTCCCCACTGTCCTCCTCGTCATCCACGCCCTTGCCGTTCCACGCCTTCCTCATCTTAGTGCCTTAGTCGTCGTTGTCTGCCTCCTCCTAGGTTTCCTTCTCGTGTGATTCCCGTCGTCCTCCTCCCCGTCCCTTCCCTGTTCCTCTCTCTCCTTTTCTACCTCCTTCCTCTTCCCGCCCCCCCCACTTCGTCTCCCTCCTTTTTATTTGCAGTAGTTCCCTAGACCCGATTGCCAAACGACGGTACCCTACGCGCGTGCGTTCTTGCCCGCACTCTTCGGATAGCAGTGCGACCGGCTGTTGTCAGACCAGGCTTTGGCGGATGCCCCACCTTTGCCGAGGGCACGTGGCGTTTTTTGGGGGGGGCGATAGCCCTCAGGGGGAGGGGATCGGTCATTCTTCATAATAGCGTTCAGAGGAGCGGGTTTTACCGATGCCTTTTATCCTTCCCTCGTCGGCACGGCTGGTTTCTCGTCGCAGTCTTCATCAAAAAACCCTCCCAGGAGATGTCCAGTGAGTAGCAGTATCGGTATATAGTCGGGGCCCTGAAGAAGGAACCCTTTTCGTTGGGGAGGGGCTCCGCGTTCCTTAAGTGTTTCGCAGCTTGCCTCAGGCTGTCCTTATGTTTTCGATCGGAAATCGAAGGTTAATTTATAGAGATAAAGGGGCCTCGTTCCTTATTTGGGGTTCCTTAGGTTGGCCGCCCACATGTGGTATTGTATGCGGTGCGACGCGGGTTCGGCACGCGGGCAGTCGCGCGAAGGAACCTGGCCGGAGCCGCAGCGAGGCCAGATCCGCAACCAGCGCACAGCAGCGCTTTCGTCTTCCTCCCTGTTCCTCCTCGTCCTTCCTCCGCCTCCTCCTCCTCCACCTTAGTGGGCCCTGGAAACGGCAGGGCTGCTTTTTCACCGTTTCCGAAAAAGTGTCCCTTGAAAATGGAAACGGCAAAAAAACGGCAACCGGAAACGGCTGAAAAACGGCTCCAGGATTGGAACCGGAGCCGGAACCGGTGAAAAAACGGCGACGGAACCGGTAAAAAAATGGCGTTGGAACCGGCGAAAAAACGGCAAAACGGAACCCGTAAAAAAACGGCCTTGTCGTTTCCAGCACCTCCTCTCCCTCGTCATCATCATCCTCACCAGCAGCAGCAGCAGCAGAAGCATCATCATCATCGGCATCAGTTTCGTCTCCATCATGAACACCACAATCATACTCATCATTATTCTTATCAGCATCAGATTCGTCTTCATCATCAACACCACAATCAGAATCATGATTATTCTTATTATCATCATCAGCGTCGTCATCATCATCATCATCATCATCATCATCATCATCGTCGTCGTCATCATCACAATACTTTGGTATATCATTCGCAGGCGAGGTATCTCTGCACTTCCAGCGGGGCACGGGTGTTCAACCCGTTGGCAGGTGGCCCTCAGCAGAACCGCCGAGGCAGACCTCGGCGTTTGATGTGAACCGCACGGTGTATCGCAGGGGCTTTGTCATCTCGAGACTGGCAAGTTGTTTCTCATTCGCCGCGACCGTCAGTTTAATCATAAATTCGTTTTTCCCTGTCGTCGTGATCTTTTTCTTCTCAGTCGACGTGTCTTGGTGTGGAGGGCTACGTTTTCCAGCTGCAGAGTGTATCTTCTCCTAAAGAAGATTTGCTGCGACTGGCTCGATTGGAGCTACTCTTGCTGGATGTCCTTGCGTCTCCATGTTGTGCTTACTCTCCCATTTCCGTCCATCAATCCGCTCTGAGTTCCTAAGTTCATATCATGCCGGCCGCGGCCAAGTGGACTCTCAATACGCCGTCGAGTTTGAGGGCGCAACCAGTCTTTCGACCAAGTCGTGGGCACCTTGATCATCCTGGTCCGTCTCCTGGTGATGTGATTGTGTGTTGGGCTCGTGCACGTATTTGTCATAACGGCTTTGTTGATTTGTGTGGTGCCGTGTTCTTTATCTTGGAAGCTATCACCCCTGACCACCTTCGCGTTCGGCGCTATGGCGCTGCTCGCCTTTTGGTGCTTGATCTGTTTGCTCAGGGCGTTGTTTTTGCCCGCTTGCGGCTGGCCATGTGTGCCAAGTGGGATCCCCAGTAAGATGATGCTTCATATCGCCACTGGTGCAATTGAGTGGTTTGAGTTCCAGCAAAATAACTTGCGTCAGTATGTTGGTACCTACTCCCCTGCTGCTGCGGATGAAGGATAAGAGAGAGAGTGCTTGGCGGCACTCTTAGAAGCCACGACTCGCTCGCTGCTAGCGGGATTTGAAGCGAAACCGCTACGGACATACCGCTTCTCTTCCGTGAGCCTCTAAGCGTGCCAACGTGGCCCCCCAGCGTGGCCCCCCAGCGTGGCCCCCCAGCGTGGCCTCCCAGCGTGGCCTCCAATCATGGCCTCCCAGCGTGGCCTCCTAGCGTGGCCTTCAGCGTGGCCTCCCAGCGTGGCCCCCCAGCGTGGCCTCCCAGCTTGGCCTCCCAGCGTGGCGATGTTGCTGTCGATCTTCTCTCTGGCCACAGTGTCTTACAAATAGGCAAAACTAACGTTGCTCGGACTCTTGACCGTCCTGGTCTTCCTGTGAGGTGCGCGGGGCTCTACAAAGCATTGTTAGGCTCTCATGCTCGTCGGGGTTCTGGATTGCCGAGATACGTCTCTCTTCGTAGGGCGAGTGGCAGTGATTGTTTTCCTCCAGTGATTTGGTGTCCGGCAGAAACGAAGGCGCGTATTATCAAATTGTTGCTAATCCAGATGTTACGTCTTGTCTGTAATGGTGCTGAACTGACTTTGGAGTACTTCAGATTATCCAGCGTCGCGGTGTTCAACTTAGGCCTGGACTGGCTGAACCCCATTTTCGTTGATGGTCATGCTCATGGTGATCGTGGTGATGGTGATGATCGCGATGACGATGATGTTGGTTCTGGTGATGATGACGTTGGTGCTGGTGAGTTAAGTCCTTGATGGCATGTGATATAATTCTGATGATGGAGGCCATGCTCATGATGATGATGATGATGGTGGTGGTGTTGCTGATAATGATGATGGTGAAGCTGATGATGTCGATGATGATGATGATTGCGATTCTGCTGATACTAAGTGTGACCTTGTTGGTCATGGTGGTGATGCTGATGATGATGACGGCGACGGCAAATGTGATTCATGACTGTGACGCTGTTCACGACTCTCTCTGTTATGATGGTGGTGGCCAGACTTATGATGATGATGGTGATGGTGGTGGTGATGACGATCACGACGACGATGATTTCGATGATGTTCCCGATGATGTTGATGATAATGGTGGTGGTGATGGTGAAGATGACTCTGGTGATGGTGAGTACGGCGATGGTGACGATGCTGACGTTGATGGTGATATTGATGAGTATGACGACGGCGCTGATGATGATGGTGATGACGGTGATGCATACGATATTGATGGTGGTGGTGATGGTGTTGATGATGACGTTTGCGATAACCGTGGTGATGGTGATGATTACGATGACGATGATGATGATGATGATCGTGTTGACGAGCATGGCAAAGGCGATAGCGATGCTGATGCTGATGGTGGTCATGATGACAAGCATGCTGACGGCTACTAGTAGGATGGCGATGACGATGACAATGACGACGGTGATTCCGAATGTGGTGATGATTGTGATCACGATGGTCGTGGTATCATGGTGGTGGTGAAGACGACGCCATGACGATGATAATGATGACGGTACTGATGATAATGAAGATGATGTTGTGTGATGATGTTGTTGAGGTTGATGGCGATGATGATGGTGATGATGACGACGATGATGCCGTGCTTGACGATGATGTTGTTGACGGTTATCGAGGTCATAGTTGCGATGGGCATGTTTATGATGAGTATGGTTGTTGTGGAGGTGGTGGCGGTGATGACGATGATCACCACGGCGATGTTGATGGTGATGATGATGTTGATGATGTTGAGGATGATGATGATGGTGCGTGTGATCATGATGCCTTGGCGACGATAATGAGCATCATACCGATGGCCATGATGACAATGTCGACGGATATGACGATAACAACGGCGGCGGCGATACTGATGATGATACTCACGGTAACGATGAATATAATGCATGTGATGATGATGGTGGTGACGTTGGCCATGACGGTGAAAATAATGATGTTGATGTTGGTGATATTGAGGATGATGGGAATGATTACGATGACGATGAGGATGATGATGCTGGAGATAATGCTGACGAGAATGACGATTGCGATGTCGATGGTTGCGCTGATGATGGTGGTGTCCGCGTTGTTTCTGCTGATGATGGTGGTAGCGATGACGATGATGATGCGACGGGTGATGACGATTTTGATAATGATCGCGATGGTGTGATGACGATGATAATGATGATGATGGTGATGGTGATGATCAGGATGACGACGGCGGCGACAATTACGATAGGTATGATGATGATGACACCGCTGATGATGATGATGATGCTGATGATGAGGATGAGGATGAGGATGATGATGGTGAAGACGGTGATGTGATGACGGTGCCGATGGCGATTGTGATGATGATGATGGTGATGGTGGTGCGATGATGGTGCCGATGGGGATTGCGATGCTGATGGTAATGGTGATGGTGATGGTGATGACGATGATGATGATGCTGATGATGATGACGACGATGATGATGATGATGATGATGATGATGATGATGATGATGATGATGGTGATGATGGTGATGTTGATGATGATGGTGAGAACGGTGACTACATCACGATCGTCATCGGCACCGTCATCGTCGTCATCCTCCCGCCCCGGCGCGCGGCGCGCGGGCGGGCGAGAGCGCAGGTCCGCCCGGAGGGACCTCTCGGCGGCGGGCCCGCAGCTCCTGGCGGCAGCCGGGGCCGCGGGGAAGGGCAGGGATCGGGCGCTGCGCTATGGGGGGGGGCGATCCAATTGGGGGGCCATCAAGGGACCCCCTCCCAAAGAGGCCCTGAATGGGCTATTTTTTCGCCCCAAGGAGGGGCCCCGTGCCACCCAGAAGGGGGCGTTATGGGGGGGCGATCAAAGGGGGGGGGTCATCAATCGGGGGCAGAAAAGAGGGGGGTGATGACTAGGGGGGGGGGGATATATCATGGCGCGGGCCATGACATTTCTCCAGATTTCATGGCGCCTCTTCTCATTTCTCTACGTCCCTGGCCCCCCGCTGGGCCGCGCACGTGCCGCCGGTCGTGATTTGCACCCCCCCCTCTTGGACACCCCCCTCTTGGCCGCTCCCGAAGAGGGGAAGGGAAGGAATCGGGCGCCGCGTTATGGGGGGGGCGATCAAATTGGGGGGGTCATCAAGGGACCCCCTCCCAAAAAGAGGCCTTGAATGGGGTATGTTTTTTGTTGGCCCCAAGGGGCACTGGAGCCCCGGAAGGGGGTCCCCCTGCCACCCCAGAAGGGGGCACGGGAGGTGCGCGCTCCCCCCGCCCATGTGCCTCGGCCTCCCAGATGGACTCCGAGCACGCGGGGTCCGAGGGTCGCAGCGCGTCGCCGATGGGTCGGCAATGCGGGTCGGTGTGGAGCCCGAACTTTTTCACGTCGATGCGTCGCCAAGGTCGCCGACGCATCGTCGATGCGGCGCGGGCGCGATCCTCCGCCCCCATCTGCTCGGGCCCCATCCGGGAGGCCTCCATACAGGGGAGGGGGGGAGAAGAAAGTTTCTCGGTTGCGCCCTAAAGGGGCCCCTTGCGGCCCATAAAGGGCACGATATGATCACGTTTCTCCCTTCATGTAGCGCCTCTCCATGACGCAACGCCCAAAGGAGGAGGAGGGGGAAGGAGGAGGAGGGGGGCCCAAACCGTGTGGTGACCACACTGCGTGGTAGGTCAGTGCGGATTCGGGATCCCCTCGCTGTTTCGGAGATTGGATCGGCCTCCAGGGTTCCAAAACCGTGCCGTGACGCACCGCGCGGCAAGGTCGTTGGGGGTTCTGAGGTCGACACTCGGTCCGCCAATGCACGCCCCGAATTGGGCCCAGACGTACCCGCAGTGTGAAATTATCTTGGCGAAGGGCCCAACATGCAGTTGTGAATGCCGCGTTGTGGCTGCCGCTGTCGATGGAGATACCGATGGGCCCCATAGGGCCATGCAGCGCGTAAGGGGTGTGCCGTCATGGTGTTGGGGCCCCAGTATGGGGCAGGAAGTGCCTCCCACCGGTGCCTTCGGTGGAGCTCCTTATAGTATAGAGGCACACAACGTGTGAGGGGTGAGCCGACAAGGGGCAGGGAGACGCATGTGGACCCTGCCACTGGAGCCTTCGGTGGAGCGCCCTATGAGCCACGAAGCGCGCGCTGTACTCGGATGGGGAGACGCATTTTGACCGTGCCACCGGGGCCCTCGGTGGAGCTCGCTATGAGTCCCGAAACGCTGTTTTCGGATGGGGAGACGCATATTGTCCCTGCCGCAGGTGCCTTCGGTGGAGCGCCCTATGGGCCACGAAACGCTTTACTTGGTGCGGGAGACGCATGCGAACTGTGCCACTGGGACTTTCGGTGGAGCTCCCAATGGGGCCACGAAGCGTTGCACTGGGTGGGGGAAGACGCATGCGAACTTTGCCACCTGTTTTTTTGGTTGGAGCTCCTTATTGGCCACGAAACGTTGTTTTGGGTGGGGGGACGCATGCGAATTTGCCACCGGGGCTTTCGGTCGGGTTCACTACAGGCCACAAAACCGTTCATTGGGTGGGGGAGACGCACGCGAACTTTGCCCTTGGGGCCTTCGGTGGGGCTCCCTACGGGACACGAAGTGGTGTAATAGATGGGGGAGGCGCATCCGAGTTTTGCCACCGGGGCCTCGGTGGAGCTGCCTATGAGCCACGAAACGCTGTACCTGGATGAGGAGACTTCTTTTGACCCTGCCATTGGGGCCTTCGGTGGAGGTCGCTGTGGACCACAAAACGTTACACTGGGCGGGGGAGACGCATGCGAACTTTGCCACTGGGGCCTTCGGTCGAGTTCCCTACGGGCCACGAAACGTTGTACTGGGTGGGGGAGGCGCATGCGAGCTTTGCCACTGGGCCTTTCGTGGAGCTCCCTATTCGGCCACGAAGCGTGTGCGGCGTGTGGCGAGCTGGTAGAGTGAGGCGGAGACCAGAAGTAAGGAGGGGGAGGAGGGGAAAGAGGGGGAGTGAGGAACGCGGGGCGTTGTCTCTTCAAAACGTAGACCCACCACCACAGGATCGTGGGGAAGAACCACGACGAGAGGCTTTCGGCCGTTTTCGGCCTTTGGGGGCCTTCGCCGAGCTTCGTGGACGTCAACAAATTTGCCTGGCTACGGACTGAACCATATGCAGTTGCGTGTGCCGTCGTTGTGAGTATCACTTTCGGTGGAGCTCCGTATAGCGCCACGGAGCGCGTGAGGGGCGTGCCGAAATGGGTGGGGCTGCCGCTTGCAAGCACGGCCGCTGGGGCCTTCGGTGGGGCTCCCCGTGTGGCCACGAAGCGTGTGCGGGGCGTGCCGAAGTACATGGGTCGCTCGCCTGCGAACATGGCCACTGGGGCCTTCAGTGGGGCTCCCTGTGGGGCCACGAAACGTGTGAGGGGTGTGTCGACATGGGTGCGGCCCACGCGTGCGGGTTTGCGCCAGTGGAGCCTTGGGAGGAGCTCCTTATGGGGCCACGAAGCGTGTGAGGAGTGTGCCGAAGTGGATGGGGGACCGCATACGGGCTGCGCCACAGGGACCTTCGGTGGAGCTCCCTATTGGTCCACGAAGCGTGTGAGCGGTGTGCCAAATTTAGTGTGACGGGCGCATGCGGGCTGCACCAGTGGGACCTTCGGTGGAGCACCCTGTGGGGACACGAATCGGTGCCGCCATGGGCGGAGCGGACGCATGTGGGCTGAGCCACTGGGACCTTCAGTGGGGCTCCCTGTGTGGCCACGCAACGTGTGAGGGGTGTGCTGAAATGGGTGCGGCGGACGCATGCGGGCTGCGCCACTGGGGCCTTCGGTGGAGCTCCCTGCTGGGCTACGAAACGTGTGAAGGGTGTGCCGAAATCGATGCTGGACCGCACGCGGGCTGCGCCACTGGGGCCATTCGTTGTGCTCCCGTTAGGGCCACGAAGCATGCGAGGGGTGTGCCGAAATGGGGGCCTTCGGTGGAGCTCCCCATGGGGCCACTTGCCGACATGGGTGGCGAAGCCGCATGTGGGCTGCCCCAGTGGGACCTTCGGCGGAGCTCCCTGTGGGGCCGCGAAACGCGTGAGTGCCCCGAAATAGACATGCGGAGGGCAGGGGCAGGGATGGGAGGAGGGAAGAGGAGATGGGGGAGAACGAGTCGCGGTGCGCTGCCTCATGCGAAGCGGGGGCCCAAAACCACATAATGGTTGAGAACTACTCATGGTGAAGCGCCGGTCCCGAGGAACGGGTCGATGCCTCCAGGAGTCCACGTTGTGAAAAGCATGACGTTGGGGGTCTAGGACTTGGAGCCCACCGAGTCCGAAACTCCAAGTCCTCCTTTTTCCCCCCTTCCTCCCCGTCCCTGTCCGTCCCCCTCCCGTCCTCCTCGCTCCCAGGAGGACTTGGAGTCATCATGTGACTCCAGGTCGTCCTCCCCTCCTCCCCCTCCTCCTGATCCTGCGTCTTCTCCCCCATCTCCTTTCTATTATCCTAGCAGGGCGAGCTTAACACGGGGTGGCTTCCATCCTCTCCACTTCGCCCTTCTCGGTGACTCGCAGATCGCCCGCATCATCAAGCTTCTGGGGACACTCGACCGTGTCGGGATGATACCTACTACCACTCGGGCTATCTTCACGCTCTTGACCACGAAGGTAAATTCCTGATTGGCCGCGAGGGCTTCGAGGCATTGGCCCCATCGCATTTTTCTGCCGCGTGTGGTCCCGCATCTGGCAGCCCATCTTTAGACAGTCGGAGGCGGCCGACAAAGCGTCTTTGCTATGACATCACGCTCGGCGCATTACTCTAAAACTTGTTTGCATGCAGAGCCTCCAAGCCTCCAGGCTGAGCCTGTGGTGTGACAGGGTCGTCGCGAATACAGTGCATCTTTCTGGCGTGCCGGATGTTTATTGTGATCCATGACATACCTGGGACCGTGAGGTGGAAACATATTTTGCGAACCGCCTGATGCCCGTCGCGCTGAACAAGTATTCGCCTGGACATTCGTTTGGATTTCAATGAATAGCCGAGCGTCTTCGTAGCTTCCATTACGGCATCGCCGCAGGGTTCGGTACGCCACATATCTGGTCCAAGTGTATTGTGTTATGTTGACCAAGCATAGGCGATATACAGAGAGGTAATGACAGAGAGAGAGAGAGAAATAACACAAAAGAGAGAGAGAGAGAGACAGGATGCAGCAGTTGCACCTACAATAGTCATCTGTGATGTGATCAGCAGCTCGTTGATAGCGATCGATTGTGGGCATAGTCGCGCAGCAGTGGCACTGGCCTTTCTCATACAGCACGAGCTCGGCTGTGGCATTGGAGTTGTACAGTCGGCCCTCGCATCAAGTTTTTCCCAGGATTCTAAAGCTCGTGCAGGCAAGTTTCGGGAATCTCGCAGGCACGCCGCAGCGCAGTGCAGCAGTTCATAAATAGTACAGTGGAGGCCCATGCCAAGAAACACTCTACTTGCCTCGAGGGTGCCCTGTGTTTCTTCGGTTTCTTGTGGAAGGCTTCTTGTGCAAGGTTTCTTGTGGAAGGTCCTGGGGTCTCAGGATTGGGTTTCTGCTGGAAGGCTTCTTGTGGTCGGGCCCCCACTGTATCTTCCAGGACGTTGCACGCTGGCGAGGGCAGCCGCCCGAGCCGCCGGCCCCACCCAGATCAAAGGCTGTGTCCCTCTGCCCCCCCGCGCCCCCCTTGGAGAGTGTTTTCTCAATTGCACCCCCCTGAGAGTGTTTCTGTCCTGGGCCATGACGCTCGTTATGCTTCCCCTCCATCTCCCCCCCCCACGTTCCCAGAACGAAGCGCTTCCCCCGCCCCCAGTGCGCCCCCAGCACTGCCGCGGTGCGTCCAGCACCGCAGTCCGTTTTGCGCGGCCCACACGGCGGGGGGGAGCGTTACGCTATGCCCCCTCCACCCCCCCCTTTTCCCCGCCCCCCATGAGGCCTGTTATCAACGCGAATAAAAAATGCTCTCCCTGGAAAGGAAATGCAACTCACTTCTTCAATTTCTTGAGCACCTCCCCCACCCATCGATACGCTAACGGCGATGTAGGGAACGGCGATGTCGGTGGTAGGTTGGGGTGGTTCGTGGCCACCCCAATTCTGGGAAAGGCCTGTTCGTGTCTTCCTACACTTCAGTCTGCACGAGCTCGGCGTCGCAAAAACCAGGTTCTGAAAGGCTCGCGCGCGAGCCGCGCCCTCGCGCCCCAACGTCACGGGCCCTGCGCGGGGCGCCGGGTGAGCCACAACCGTCCCGCCGTCGGCCACGTCTGGCCCCACGCTGCCTACCAGCGATGTAGGGAATCTGTTTTTTGCGACGCCGAGCTCGTGCAGACTGAAGTGTAGGAAGACACGAACAGGCCTTTCCCAGAATTGGGGTGGCCACGAACCGCCCCAACCTACCACCGACATCGCCGTTCCCTACATCGCCGTTAGCGTATCGATGGGTGGGGGAGGCGGCTCAAGAAATTGAAGAAGTGAGTTGCATTTCCTTTCCAGGGAGAGCATTTTTTATTCGCGTTGATAACAGGCCTCATGGGGGGCGGGGAAAGGGGAGGGCGGAGGGGGCATAACGTAACGCACTGCTCGTCCAGGGCAGCGTGGGCGACCCTCCCTGGGAGCAGGCCACGGTTACCAACAATTTCCTCCTCACTTGGGTCGAAGGAGAAAAAGCGCCATAAACATGAACTTTTGGCGCTCGCGCGGTTTTGTTGGATCGGCGCCGGAATCCACCCCTGGCGGCGCCTCCGTCGCCGCCCCTGGCGCGCTCCGCGCGCCAGGGAGGGATTCCAGCGCAGATCCAAGAAATCTGCGCGGAGCGCCCCATGTTTATGCTCATGGTATCGTTTCTTCTTCTATTGGCAGCGGCGTGCTCCGAGGCGGGGCCCGGAGGGGTGCACGCAGGGCGAGCTCGGCCCCGCGAGTGGCTCGCGGCGGGGCGCAGCCGAGGCCGCGGTCAGGGGCGTGGGGGGAGGTGGCTGCGAGGGGGCTTCGGCCACGGGCTTCGCGCAGGCATCCGCAGCCGCGCCCTCGCGGCCTGGCTTCGGGGCATCCGAGCCCGCGTGCTGAGCGGAGCATGCGTCCGGGGGCCCGCCCCGAGAGGCCGTGGGTACGGACACGCCTTGCGCCCACGATGTGGCTCCTGCCCTGGGGTGGTGCTGACACGCAGGTCTTTTTTTGGGGGGGGGGCACTGCGGGGTCCCCACGTGAGTGGCGCAAGGTCGTAAAAGAATACGGTGGATCGTTTCTCCCCTCTCTCCTCCTCCCCTCCCGCCCCTGCTCCCCCCTCCCCCTCCCTCGAGTACAGATGCGGCTTTCCCTCGCGACGCTCCAGAACAAAGGGTCCGGCGCTTGTCCACCGAGGCACTGCGTCTGCACGCAGGTGTTCTCGCATGTGCTTCAGGTATGTCTTCCGCATGCTATTTTCTGCCGATGCGCCGTCAGGGCGCGGCTCCTGCTTGCCTGCCCGCCAATGCGTGGCCCCAACGAGTCACGATCCTTTTCCCAGGACCGGTTTTTCATCCCGGGCCAGTTTTTGCGGTCTCATAGGGCCCCGCGAGGGTTCCCCCCGGCTATGAACGGAAGGGCCCCCCGCGGGCCAGCAGCGACCGCCCGCGGCAAAGCTCTTCACCACGCGTGGACGTCTGGGAACCTGGCCTGACCGGATCTCTCCTAGGAGGAGGAGGAGGAGGAGGAGGAGGAGGAAGAGGAGGAGGAGGAGAGGAGGGGGAGCAGGAGGAGGAGGGAGGAGGAGGAGGAGGAGGAGGAGGAGGAGGAGGAGGGGGGAGGGGGAGGAGGGGAGGGGAGGAGGAGGAGGGAGGAAGGGGAGGAGGAGGAGGAGGAGAAGGAGAGACGGAGGAGGAGGAGGAGGAGAGGAGGAGGAGGAGGAGGAGGAGGAGGAGTGGAGAGGAGGGAGGAGGCGGAGGAGGAGGAGGGGGAGGAGAAGGAGCAGGAGGCCTCCCTGTCGGCGGCGGCGGCGAGGACGACGGCGGCGACAGCGGCGACGGCGGCGCCGTCGGCCCCTGCCGCCGGGGTGCCGGCAGGGGGCGCCCACGCACGACCTGGCGCACGCCGGCCAGGCCCAGCACCTGCTCCAAGTCTGGACGCCGCGCGGCCGCGGGAGGGCCCCTCCTCCTCCTCCTCCCTCCCTCCCCCTCCTCCTCCTCCTCCTCCTCCTCCTCCTCCTCCTCCTCCTCCTCCCCCTCCGCCTCCTCCTCTTCCTCCTCCTCCTCCTCCTCCTCCTCCTCCTCCTCCTCCTCCTCTCCTCCTCCTCCTCCTCCTCCTCCTCCTCCTCCCCCTCCCTCCACCTCCTCCTCCTCCTCCCCTCCTCCACCTCCTCCTCCTCCTCCTCCTCCTCCTCCTCCTCCTCCTCCTCCTCCTCCTCCTCCTGCGGCCCGACCCCAAGGGAGCCTCCAGGGGTGGCCCCGAGAGAGCCCCCAGGGTGGCCCCAAGGTGCATTCTGAAGGGCATACAAAAACCGCCTCTTGCCTTGGTTTACGAGGCGTTGTGCGCTGAAGCTCCTGTGGGCTGAGAGGGTAAACCCTGCGTGATGTGGAGCGTCCTGGCGGCTCTCTAGGCTTCGGGGGGTCCCAGGAGGTTTACGGACCACGCACTTGTAACCCAAGGGAGGGTCGTTACCCATCCCGCAACATTTAACACTCGGGACGATCGAACTGGGTACGGAAAGATGGGGTACGATGCCCAACGGCAGTTTCTGTTCATTTTGTACAGGGCTCGCTTTCAGCGCCGCCGCGGACGTTGTTCACTGCAGACAGAAAGCCGCCTGCCCAACAGCGGCCGCTGTTGGTTTGGGACAACATTTGTTGTTGGGCATTGTGCGCATTTTTTATTTTTCCCGGATTCATTCCGGGCGTCCAAAAACACAGCCCAAGATTGGAAAGAAAAACACATGCGGAACCATGAATTTTCGGAGCTCCGCGTGGATTTCTGGAGTCTGCGCCGGACGCCCCTGACGGCGCCTCCAGCGCCGCCCCTGGCGCGTTCCGCGCGCCAGGGAGTGGGGTCCGGCTCAATTGCCCCAAACAGTGGTTGCATTCGCGGGCTCTGATTTCTTATTAAGGAGCTGGGCCATTCTGGCGGCTATGTGGCCACCGTCGCCGTCCGTCGTCTGGGTCTGTCTGCCGGTTTGGCGGCGCTGTGGCCGCCGTAGCTGCCCCGTGGACGCCTCGTCGCCGCGAGTCTGGGTCTGTCTGCCGGTCTGGCAATTCCGTGCTCGCCGTCACCTCTCCGTCGCCGCTCCGAAGATCGCACAACATAGGTTGCACCACATCGATTGCGCCGCATGGATTGCGCCACAGGTCGCACAGTATCGATTGCACCACATCGATCGCTCCGCATAGATTGCATCACATAGGTTCTCCTATTGGGTTCTACCCCCCCAGGGATCATCGGCCCCTTCTGGGATGGTTCCTCAAATGCGACCAGAGGGGCATTTTCGGCCGCATGTCGACATCATTCGCACGCCTTTGCGCGCATGCCTGGGGGGACACGATCTTTGTGAAATGATACTATGCAGGCAACTGGCGCCAGTCGGCCGCGCGCGCATGTCGAAATCTTCCCAAAGCCTTCATCACCAACACCGGGACACCATCACCGTCATCGGCGTGATCAACATCGACGCCGTCATTGGCCTTGCCGTCGTCATCGTCATCGTCGTCACCAGCATCGTTAGTATCATCGTCGTGGCTGCCGTTGTCGACGTCGCCATGGCACCGCGCCGCCAGAGTCACCGACTCGCACTGAAGTGGCCGCGCGTCAGCGAGTCTTGCGAGACGCGCTGGAGACTCCCCAGCGGACAGCGCCACAGCGGCCGCGTCGGTCACGCCAGACTAGCTGGCCGATCTGCGCGCGAGCCTGCGCGCGCTAGCGCGGCCGCAGCGTTGCGCCAGCCAGCGCCGAACAGTCATCGCAATCGCCGCCGCATGGGCTTTTGCAATCCAAGCTGCGGGCGGGTTGGTTGGATGATTTCCCGAGCAGCGGACTTGACAATTCATTGCGAAAAACACGTGCGCCACGTAGATTCGCATTTATAAAAATATATTAGAACTGTAGCGACAAAGTGTAAATCACATGGTTTTGTAACAAGGGGTCCTTCCAAAAACGTGCCCCCGCCTTCTTGCGAGTCCCTCAGAAAACCACCGTTGCTTCAACATGTTCGCGGAGTGTTTCCGAATTGGCCTTTCGCGCGCGCGTCGACATCGCTCGATCGCTTCTGCGCGCGTGCTGTGTAAGAGATGAGACAAATTGCGCGCGCGCGTCGTCGCGCGCGGATGCCGGAATCTTTGAAACAAAAACCATGGGTTCCGTAAAGATTTCAAAAGCGAGTGCCCCGTGTGCGTTATGTGTTTATTATTGTTTGGTAGATGTTACAAAACACAGCTTTGCAACACCAAATTTCAAAACTAATCGTTCGCGTTCATGCGGGCTTTTCTGCCAGGCGGGCCCCTCGCGCAGCATGTCGAACTCATTCGAATGCCCTTGCGCGCGTGCTTGGGGGGGGGGCGCGATTCGTGTCGAATAATATCACGCGGGCCAATCGCGCGTGTCGGCCTTTCTCGCATGTCGATCTCCGTCAAAAGATTGCATCGCCGACGCGAGGACATTGTCATCGTTATCGGTGGGATTGATCAACATCGGTGCCGTCATTGGCCTTGCCGTCGCCATCGCCACCTCTGCCACCATCGCTACTCTTCATCATCGTGTCTACCATTGTCGGTGTCGCCATGATACCGCGCCCGCCCAAGTCACCGACTCGCACTGAAGTCCTCGCTGGGAATTGCCCCGCGGTCAGCGCCACCGTGGCCGCGTCGGTCGCGTCAAATTAGCTGGCAGTTGTGCGCGCGAGCATGCGCGGGCTCGCGCCGCCACAGAGATGCACCAACCAACGCCAAACACTCATCGGAATCGCCGCCGCATGGTTTTGCACACCAAGTTGCGGGTGGGTGGACTGGATGTTTGCAAGAACGTATAATGTGTTAACTCTTTTGTAACAGAGCAAATTGCACCACATAGTTTGCAACACATACAATGCACCACGTGGGCTGCACCACATCGGTTGCGCAACGTACACTGCACCACGTAGGTTGCACCGCGTGCGTTGCACAACATAGCTCGCGCATCATAGATTGCACACCCGCATCGCACAGCTTGCACAGCATAGGTCGCACCACGCAAACTGCATCACATAGATCGCGTTGCATATGTTTCTTCACATGCATTACGCCACGCGTCTATAGTTGTATATTTAACCTCGAATTACACACCGGTTGCACAACCCATAAAGCTGGAAACGCAATGTTTGGCGCCCATGGTTCGTAGCACGTTTTCATTGTTCTTGCTGTGGCGCACAACGGCCTCTTGTGACCCCGACAGGGCCCATGAGCTGTCAAGGATTTCCCTGAGTTTTAAGGGCGGCCCCATGATCCTTTAGGGTGGCCCAGTAGGTCCTCCGAGGGGCTTCCGGGGAACAGCCCGAGGAGGGTCGGCCCGACCCAAACCTTTGGCAGCCTCGTCCGCTGTACGACAGCGACTGCGGCAACGGCGGCGGCGGTGACGACAGCAGCGGTTGGCGGCAACGGCGACGACGACATCGGTGGCGACCACGGAGGCAGCTGCGACGACGGCGACGACGGCGACGACGCCGATCCTGGAGTGTTTCTCGGAGTTGGGCATATTGGTGCCGTTGCTGGGTTGGCCATCGCACGTAAGCCCCGGACGAGACACGGCCCTTTGGAAGGTTGGTAGAGAGTTTGGGAGGGATCGGTGCAGACAGATGTCCATCTGCAGTTGCTGCAGGTTCGGATTCGTGGTTTTTTTTTTACAAACAAATAGTAATACAAACTATTTATATATGATTATATATATATATTCGTCTGTCCATATTGAGAGGGGGCAACTGCGCGACAACTGCGGGACACTTACGGGCAACGACGCGATGACCACAAGACAAGGACGAGACAACCACAGGACAACCGCGGGACAACCACGGGACAGCCGCGGGAAAAAAAACGGGAAAACCACGGGACCCTTATCTTTGAAAGAGCGTGTTCTACCGCTGCTGGCGGAAAACCGGGGGGGGGTCACTACCGGTTCGAACCCCTCCCCCCCCCCCCTCCGGAAAACCAGCCGGGGGGGGTCACTACCGGTTCGAACCCCCCCCCCCCCCAAGTTCATCATGAAAAGGGGGGGGGTCACTACCGGTTCGAACGCCCCCTCCCCCCCTCGAAAACCGAGTGGGGGTGCGGACAGTGGTGGGGACGGTGTTGGTGGGGACAGTGGCGAGGGGACAGCGGGACACTGGTGGGGACAGTGGGACAGTGGGACAGTAGAGGGCCGGTAGTGGTGGGGACAGTGGTGGGGACAATGGTGGGAACAGGGGGGACAGTGGACAGTGGTGGTGACGGTGGTGGTGGGGACAGTGGTGTGGGCACAGTGGGAATGAGGTGGAAACAGTGGGACAGTGGAGGGTACAATGGTGGTGGGGACTGGTGAAGGCGGTGGCGAGGGCGGTGGGACAATGGGACAGAGGGGTACAGTGGGGACAGTGGTGGGGACAGTGGGGACAGTGGTGGGAACAGTGGGACAGCTCAGTGGGACAGCGGCGGAGTCAGTGGGACAGTGGGGGACAGTGGGAATAGTCGGGCAGTGGTTTGGGGCCGTGGAGACAGTGGGGAGAGTGGAACCGTGGTGGGAACAGTGGTGGGGACAGTGGGGACAGTGCGACAGTGGTGGGGGCACTGGTGGGGACACAGTGGGGACAGTGGTGGTGAGGACAGTGGTGCTGGGAACAACAGTGGAGGATGTGATGCGGACGGTGGTAGGGACCGGGAGTCGTTTGCTGGCGTGGCGGGAGTGGGGGGGGGGGGGGGGGGGGGGGGGGGGGGAGGGTTCGACCGGTAGTGATCCCCCTCCTTTTTTTCGAGGGGGGGGGTGGGGGTTCGAACCGGTAGTGACCCCCCCCGGTCTTCCTGATCCGGAGGGGGGAGGGGGGGAGGGGTTAGAACCGTAGTGACCCCCCCCCGGTTTTTCGAGGGGGAAGGGGAGGGGGGGGGGGGGGGGGGGGGGGGGGGGGGGTGGGGGGTG